CTGGTGTAACCAAAGAAAATTTGGTTATTTCAATTATGTTTCCTGCGGCCGTTTGTGTCATCTGCCAATGGCTGTCGTGGAAAAAGGGGTTTATATATCAAAGCTTCATATAGTAACTCGTCCAGAAGTCATTGTGCGCAAGTCACTTATGTGATGAAAACGCACTAAAATAGTCATATGCTACTGATTTCGTTAATGAAAGACCACAATATCGAAAATCCTCTCCATCTGAATATTTCAGAGGCAAACAAACCGGAACATTCCGTGTTACAAAGGGCGGATCCCTTCCATTTGCCGTTGACATAGTGGCATCGACCTTGATGTATGGAGTCAAATGTTTTATTAAGTACCCTGCGGATATTCCTGATTATTTCAAGAAAGCATTTCCCGAGGGTCTGACTTACGACAGGAAATTAACATTTGAAGATGGTGGGTGTGCCACGGCCACTGCGGAAATGAGGTGAGTAATTCCTTACAATTTAACTGTCAATCAGCTTTTTAACTTGGAAATTGCACAAAGATCTTCGACTTACATCTGTAAATGATCCAAAGCAAAAATCGTCTAGATTTTCTTGCATATTCTGCAACACTAAACAAAGATTTGCGCTTGATGTTAAAAAGTGAAAATTCACGACGGATTTCCAAAATGAATAAAATCATGGAAGCCGCAAGAGTGCATTAATACAGCGACAACCGCTTGCTTTTCAAAAATAATTAGGCAACACTCAGTTTGTACAAATTGACCTAATTTTTTTTTTTACATTCGTCACTTTTTCCTTTCAGGCTTATTTTTGTCTTCTAACATAGTAATCTAACCTGTTGATTTAGAGGTTTTTATTCCATTAAAATCTTGTTACCTCTAAGGTGGACTCAAAATGTATGTTTTATTAATTTTGCGTTCTGAAATGTTTCCTACTTTGACAGCCTCAAAGGTAACACTCTAGTGCACAAGACCAATTTCCAAGGAGGCAACTTTCCCATCGACGGGCCTGTCATGCAAAACAGGACGCTTGGCTGGGAACCAACCTCGGAGAAAATGACTCCTTGTGATGGCTTAATCAAGGGAGATTCTACCAAGTACCTTTTGGTCGAGGGAGGGAAAATGCTGAAATGTCGATATGAAAACAATTACAGGTAATAACGTTGGCTTCGACTGCTGCGTACAGACATGTAAACATATATTCAGAAGCTGTTCACCCGACTGTTTACAGTCACCTCCGAGGTTTGCACGTTTCTTCATTCGCCAAATTTGCTTAAATTTCCGAATTTTGGGATCATAACTTTTCAACAGCATCGGATTACATAACTGCAAAGCTGGATAAAGGTCTATTTGTGGACATTTCTCTGAATTTATTTTCATCGCTTACGATCATAATTACAACTCGAACGCACTGTTCGGAAACTATCTTAATCTTTGTGGTTACCAGGGCGTCGAAGTAGATGACTCAATATCTATACTTCCTATTTCAGTGATAAATCACGCATCATTCTTGATTTTTTTTCCTCCAGAGCCAAGAAGGTGATACACGAGATGCCACCGAGCCATTTTGTGGATGTCCGCCTTGTGAGAACCAACCTTGATAAGGAAGGTTTGAAGTTTCAACTGGAAGAACATGCCGTGGCAAGAATCCTCGAAGTTTGAGGATTACTGGGGAGTCACTGTCATTGTTAGTCTCTTTGTACAACAACATGAGGTGAATAAAGAAGAGCGAACCTCAAATGTACGCCGGTTTTACACGTCTTTAAACTTTCGATTGATTATGAGGAGTTATGAAAGGAAACGAACCAAATCTCTGCCGTAATTATTCGTTGCTTGCAGAAAGTGCGTAAAGTTCGCTTCACAGTTGTCAAGGCCCAAATTTTTCTTTAACTTTATAAATCATTCAAATCTGAAAGAAGATACATGAGAATTGGTGTCAAAAAGAAAATTGCAGCTCAGCTGTCCCAGAAAACACTTCACTTTTCGACCTCCAGACACTTCCCTAACAAAAAATAATGTGAGTTCAAGAAACTTAGAACTTCCTACACGTAAACACTAAATTGATTCATGTAGTTCTCC